TCTAATCTTTAATACAGAAAAAGGAAAATGCCAGTAACCCAGCCAGCAGATGGAAATCTAAATAATGGCCCAATGTAACAGGCCATGATAGTGAGTGTTCTGTTTCTCAACTGCTTGAATTTAGAAATATCCTCAAACAACAATAAAGCATTCTGTCCCAGGCTGGTTCATGAGACTGTGGGATATGGGGGGAAATGTGGTCAATCTCTGCTGTGGAAGTACAGAAACTGGGTAATATAACTATTTGTCCATCTGTGAGATGGTTACATAACCTGAAGAAATGTGAGTAAAATCAGATCCCTGATGGACTGTCTTGTAGGATCCATTAGAGACACTTGGTTATCAATAATTGATATCTGCATGAGTATCACAGACTAGAAGACCATAAAGGAAGGAGAGAATCAGGCAGTGTTTGATGCCCATTTCTTTGGGCCTGATGGAGCTATGTTTGCAGGACAGTTAAAAGAAGTGATTGATTCAACAGGGACCTCATTAATGGTATAGGGTTTTAGTAGCTTTGCTGAGCCCCATGGTAGGACATAATCATTACTCAGAAGCAGCTCTGGCAAATTTAAATGACAGAGGTCAGCAAATATATTTGGTTTATAAAACACAAAATCAATCAAGATGGGATCAAAGAATGGAAAAACTAACCAAGAAGTCTGTAAGATTTGTGTAAAGCTGGAGTTCCCAGAGAAGAAAATCAATAGAAAGCAAAATACTGTGCTAGTAAACTCCAGGAAGGCTTTCAAGCCTAGGCTAACAGTGGACAGGACAGGACAGGCAATTGTCCCAGAAGAGTATGTGGTGTAAAGTATACTGGGAGTAGAGACTGTTCACCCAAGCTGGAGCCTTTCAACAGCGAGGTATGGCTGATGGAAAGGAAAGGGTGACAATATTGTCCTGGAGCTGTTCAGAACAAGGAAGCCAACACCAAAGGCTGGCCTCGAAATCTAGACTAAAGCCCTTGTACCAACGAATACAAGCCACATCCACTGAGAACATCAGGATTTGAGGCATGTGTGATGGCCTCATGGCAACACCATCATGTGATAGAGGAGACTGGAGAGTTCAAAGAAAATGCCTATGGATCATGGAAGGTTAAATGGAGTAGTGTCTCCTACTCATGCTCCTGTACCCAATATTGCTCTTAGTGACATAGTGAATTCTAGGCCAGTTTGGCATTCTTGAGAACCTGACTGAAAGACAAAAAAACAAGAATAAAATACAATTTCCAAAGTGAAAATAACAAGGGATAAAGAAGATTAAAACAATACAGCTGTTAGGCAGATAATCCTCTTATGTTTTAAATATAGCTAATGAAATTAGGTCAGTAGGAATGGTTTTGCCAGTGTGTGTGGGGGAATCTAGTGGCATCATTGTGGTACTTTGTGGCAAGGTCCACTTTGCTTAAATATCCATCACCACTAGCCTGAATAATTAAGGATATAAAGCAGACAAAAAATGAAAAATGAATGTTCATTTACTGAGTTAATGAGCAACAAGGATTGTCAAGCATGTGCACCTTCAGTTTTTAAGTACTTTCATTTTATTATTTTATTTATTTGACACCAGGTCTCATGAAACCCAGGGTATAGCCCCAGACTCACTCATTATTTAGCTAAAGATGCGTTGAACTCCTGATCCCTCTGTCTCTATCTTCCAGATGCTAAGATTACAAGCATACCATGATCAACTGAGGCAGGCACACATAGGGACTGCTTGCACAAGCTTCTCTTCTATAATTCACTTTTTCAGCCTAAGATCCTCACTTACATGTACTGTGTATTCAAAGCCCTCTCCTAACAATGCAGGCAGTAACCTAAAACTCCCACCTACAATCCAGCCACATACATACACCACTCCAAACAAGGTAATAAGTTTCTTCTCCCCCAACATCCATCAAATTGGGGTAATTTATATGTAAATGTATTGCTAGTTATATCTGGGTAAGGTATGATGGGAAAGAGGCTGATATGACATGAACTAATTTTAGGTGAGTGTGTCATAAAACAAACTGTCCTCAGAGTGAATTTTTAGCATCTTATACCTGTGCATAATTGGACATGTACATGGTTATAATTAGATGCTCCATAGGAAGGGACATGCACAGTAGAGAAAAGGTAATATAACTCAAATATGTCAATCAAAATAGAGAACTGCCCATGCTATACCTCTTAGTAACCAGCCCCTCCTTTCTTTAGATCCCATAAAAAGAAGCCCCAGGTAATGACTGTGACCCTTGAGTATTCTCTCACTCCATGTGGCCTGCTGTCATTCTTGAGTTATTCTGATGCATTCTATTACTTCGCTTTTGAATAACATTTCTTGGCGACATTGCAATCTCTGTGTGCCGTTGTTTCAGTTCTTTGAACAAGGGGCCAAGAACCTCAAAACGTCCACTCCAGACATTGACTATCCCAGTAAAGCAAATATTTGTAGTCATTAAATAACAAGAAACCAGAACAAAGAATAGCAGAAGATATTTTTGCACCATATAAATTCTCCAAAGTCAAGTCCACTTGTCTAGTGGATACCTAAGTGACTCATGACCACAAACTCATCTCCAGGTTTGACTGTGTAAGAAAAAATTGTCATCACCCAGTCAACATTATGTCAATTCTAGGGAGTGGTATGAATAGGTCAGCTGCTTGATTCTGGAATCTTAATAGCAAATTTTGGAACAAGGTATTTCTATACATTGAGCTGGGCATGGTGGAACATACTCACAGTCCCAGGAATCTGAGAGGTAGACGCAGACTGTCAAGGATATCCTTAACTATATAGCAAGTTCAAGGTAACCTCGACTACAGGAGATTCTGTCTCAAATAAACCAAAAGAGTTACATAAACAAACTTGGACCCAATTCACATGTGCCTTCCTTGAAAAAGTATTAGAAGTGAGCTGTCAGTCAGTCTGTCACTCCTACACTGTCTTCTCTGTAGCCAGTTGTTTCTTTAGTAAGCATTAGTTCATGGACTAATGAATGAAGAGGCCTATGCTAGTTTAACAATGTTGGTGATTCAACTAGGAAATCCCTCTGCATATTAACATTTGGAAGAAACTGAATTAAAAAACCAACCAGTTGTGGTGGCTCATGCTTGTAATCCCAGCACTTGGGAAGTGAAGGCAAGAAGATCAGGAGTTCAAGATTAGCCTAGATGATTTAGAGTTTGAGACTAGCCTGGACTACATGCTATGCTCAATAAAACCAAACAAAATCCTGATTAATGTCAGAAAATCTTAAAGAAAAGTTGAGAATCCTAAAGGAACCTCTCCTTTTGCTAAAATACTCAGCTTAGTGATGCCAACAACCAACACTACATTGTCCCACTATGTTGAACTTTTTGGGAATTGTGTGTCAGATGTAAATAAGGAAGACTGCTCTAGATCTGTGTTTCTCATCCTGTGGGTTGCGACCCCACAGTTGGGGTCACCACAGCATGAGGAACTGTGTTAAAGAGTCAAAGCATTAGGAAGATTGAGAACCATTGTTCTAGATGTTAATGAAATGTTGATGAATACTACCTGCCAGATGTGTTTTTTTGTTTTTCAACATTTGCTTTTATCAAGAGCTAATACCTTCAGAATGTAATTTTACAAGGAGGAGGCAGGTGCTAAGGCTTGGAGAGATCTGCTAAGGATGCCATCTTTGCACACATGTATTTGGAATACAATTCATGAAGAAATGCACACAATAGAAAACAATCTTATGGTCTCTAGTCTTCTGAAACAAATCTTTCCTTCTTCCCCCTTTTAAAAAGGCTGTCTCTATTGTTCATGAGGAAGCTCTCAGGGAAAGGTATGGAACCCAGGTGGCGCTGAGGATGACACTATGTCACAGGAGCCGTGAAGGCAGACAGGGAACCTCTGGGGCACTCAGAGAGCTTGGTGGACCATTACCTGGTGGATACATGTTGACGGGGTTAGACAGTATATGAGGGGCAGCAAAGTAGAAGTGCATAGCTTCTTGTGTCTCCTCAGGTCCTATCCACATTGGAGACACCTAAGGCAGCAGTTAGGGACATTTTTTGCAGTTTTTGGTGGCCTTAGGAAGGAAAGCAAGGTTTCAACAGAGAGTAATAGGCCAGACAGAACTGACATACTCTAAAGAGACACTGTCTCTCAATCTAAATTGCAGACTACTGAAACAATGGACCTTAAAGAAATGGGAATCTCATGCTAAGATCAGGAAAAGGCACCAGGCAGAGGGGGGTCTTGTTTCCTGGAAAGAGATTTCATAGTTTAGCAACTTGTCAGACTGCCTCTTTGGGTGAGAGTGAAGCTCAGACAATGGTGGGTGGGGCTATGTCTTGACTGGGACTGCTTAGATGTGCATATCTTTGGCCTTCTATTTAAATTTTAATCTCAGTTCAGGACTCCGGAGATCTTGGGGGATTCACTAATTCTCTTTGTCCCTCTTCCCAATGTGGCCACATCAAATAAATCAATTTTCTCTGTTTTTCATTTTTAATTTTGCTCTTTTAATTGGCTTATTGAGAACGAACAGGTGGTCAGATCTGGTTTCAGAACAGGCTGTGACTCACAAGTTCAGTGACAGGATTGATTTACAGGCAGAGGGACATTTTAAGAATTGAGAGTTGCTAGACAAGGTGACTCAAGATTGTATACCCAGTACTTGGGAGACTGATGCAAGAAGCTCACCTTAAGTTCAAAGCCAACATGGCCTACTCTATTATTCAGGATTCTCTAAAGGAACGGAACTGATGAATGAATGAATAAATGAATGAATGAATGAATGAATATGTGTGTGTGACACACACACACACACACACACACACACACACACACACACATATATATATATATATATATATATATGCCATTTATTAAAGTGACTTACAGGCAGGCTAGTCCAACAATGGCTGTCTCTGTATTTGACAGTACATGAGGCTGGGCATTTCAGCTGGTTTTCAGGCTATGTTGAAATCCTGAATAAGTATGTTCTAATGCCTCAGCAGCAGGATAGCAGGACTTACCGGCAAGAGGGCAAGCAGGCAAAAAGCAAAAGCTTTCTTCTTCCTTTATATGGACTGAGCAGATTTGGACTGGGTCTCCCCGCTTGAAATTATCCAAGGGAAAGAAAAAATCCCTCACCAGTTGCCCAGCTGCTTGGGTTTTAGTTGATGCCAGATGTGGTCAAGTTGACAAACACGGTTGGCCATCACAGCTACATAGGAAGATCCTGTTTCAAAAAACAAACACTCCCCCTCAAAAGAGAGACATTATTATTATTATTATTATTATTATTATTATTATTAGTCCCTCCTTCCTTTAGGTCCCATAAAAGAAGCCCCAAGCAGTAACTTGGGGTCTTTTGAGTATTATTTCAAAAATGCTAAGTGAATTCAGGAAAAAAATTGGAAAATTCTGGTTAAAATTGGAGAATTTAATTTGTTATATTAAATTAATGCTATATGTGCAATATTCTGTTTCTGCAAGTGTGAAGGAACTGGAGTTCAGATCTCCAGGTTTTTTACTCTACGGTATCAGGTTTCCAGTCTAACACAGCAGACAGCTTCCTTTAGTCCTATTTCTTTTCCTTTGCTTCCTTCCTGACTGGCCATGCATATTTTATGCAGGTTTTTTTTGTTTTGTTTTGTTTTTTTGTTTTCGAGACAGGGTTTCTCTGTGTAACAGTTCTGACTGTCCTGGAACTTTGTAGACCAGTCCGACCTCGAACTCGCTGAGATCTTGCCTCTCTGCCTCCCAAGTGTTGGGATTAAAGGCGTGGACCACCACCTCCAGGTTTTTATTTAGATTTAAAACAAATAAAATAAAACCCGGGGGAGGGGACGGGAGAGGGAAGGGAGGGGAAACTGCGAGCAGGATGTAAAATAAATGAAAAAAAATTAATTAAAAAAAATCATCTCATATTTTTCTTTTCCTCTCTCACCCGCCCCCCCCCCCCACCCCCCCCCCCCCCCCCCCCCGCTTTGGTTTTTCCAGACAGGGTTTCTCCGTGTAGCTTTGGAGCCTGCCCCGAAACTCACTTTGTAGACCAGGCTGGCCTTGAACTCACAGAGATCCTCCTGGCTCTGCCTCCCCAGTGCTGGGATTAAAGGCGTGCTCCACAACCGCCCAGCTACTCTTATAATGCCTTTACAGTTGAATTCTTTCTTCCTTTCTTTTTTTTTTTTTAAACCCAGGATCTGTCATTCTTTTTCTGTTATTTTTAACCTAGACCTGCTCCTTGACTTTGTTTCTTTTTAAGACAAGGTCTTACTATGTACCTCCAGCTGACCTGTACCCAGGCTGGCCTTGAACTCACAGAGATCCACCTACCAAGTGCTGGGAGTATAGACTTGTGCCTATGCTCAATGCTCAGCAAGCTTTGAATTCTTTTTTTCTTTCTTTCTTTCTCGGCCCCACTTCCCCCCCGCCCCCCCCCTCCCCGCCCCGACAGGGATTCTCTGTAAAAATCAGTCATCCTGGCTCTGAGACCCGAATCCAGAGTCTAGGCAGGCTGGTGGAGCCGGTAGTATTTCAGGTCCAGACCTGTGGGAACCCAGTGACTGCTTCGGGATGAGATCTGTGCACCTGCTCCTTCTGCTTTTTCACTGTTTTGCTCTTTCGAGAAAGGACAGACGCGCCTGTCCCCAGGGCCAAAGGAAGGACACTCCGTGGACCTGGGACTTAGCAGGGAGCGGAAGTCTGAGCACTAAGGTAGGTGCTGGGTACCTTTAAACAGTTTAGAAGCCCACGTGACCCGGAGAGCGCCCGGCCCCGCGGTCACGTGAGGGCGCGTGCCCCACACGCAGGCCGAGCTAGCCTGCGCGGCGGCGGCGGCGGCCTGCGAGCCGGGGGAGGGAGGGGAGCGGCGGAGGGATCCCGCGGCGGCGCCCGGTGCGCGTGCGCAGCGAACAGCTGTCACCTAGTGCGGAACAAGTCTTCCAAAGATCCCAAAAGCCTCCGGGGAGGCCGCACTTTCCTCTCCTCATCCGGGTGGTGTCCGGGCCTCCGCCCGCGGCGCAGGTAACCGCTTTCTCGGTCCGGGCGGAGCGGCAGGAGTGGCGGCCTCGGCCGGTGTCGGCAGGGCAGCCGCACGGGCCTGGACGCTCCGCGGTGCACGGCCGTCAGCTGGGAGGGAGGCAGGAGGAGGCGGCCGTGACAGCCCATCCTGGCCCTCCGGGTTCGGGAGCTCGCTCGCCGACCTCCCGGGAGCCGAACCAAGGTGCTGCTGCTCCGGACTGCCCCGCCTGGGTGGCCTTGGGCCGCCGACCCAGCCGTCTGCGGCCGACACGGGGAAGGCCGGGCCTGTGCGCCCTCCGGGCCTCCCTTGGGTCCGGCTGCCCCGACCCGCGAGGTTAGCACGTAGCCCGCCCCTCACTCGGGTTTGTTCTTGGCCCCGGCACGATGACCTTTTCCTTTTCCTTTCCTCCGTCTTGAGGCCATTTCTTTGTGCAGTTCCCGGAGGAGCCATGATGCGGGGTAGACAGTGGGCGCTTAATAAATGCGATTGGCTGTGGCATGGGAACTGCCAGGCACAGGGCGTGTTGTGCGGTGGGAATGCTGCGGGGAAGGCAGGCGGGCTAGCCTGGGCTGGAACTGGGTGTTCTCTGCTCTGCAGTGATAGCAGCTGGGCTCAGTTCGGATGCTTTCTTCGTAGTGGACCCAGGAGGCAGCCGCCGGCGTGGCTGAGCTGGGCAAGCTGGCGCGTACTGCATTTGGTTAGGTGTTTTCAAAGACAACTTGGTAAACTTTTTTTCATTTTTTTTTTTTTTAAAAACTCAATGCAGTCTTTCACACTTGGTAATTTATCCAGCACTGCTTGAGTTAGAATTGCAGTCGGTTCCCGGGAGAGGCTTTTGATAGGCTCGATCCACTTGGGTTGGCACCAATCTTTGCCCAATTTCACCCACTTGAATTTTGCACTTATAAAAGGCGCGCGGGGGGGGGGAGATTCACTGCTTCTATGGCAACGGTTATTAATAGTCTAATTTAAAAGCGTGGTGATTAAAAATTAGTGGCTTTAAAATTTTATTTTTTGGTTTTTGAGTCAGGGTCTTACTGTGTGTAGTCTTGCCTGACCTGGAACTTCTTATGGTAGCTGGCCTGGAGCTCAAGAAGATCCACCTGCCTCTGTGTTCCCAGTGCAGGGATTCCTGGTATTCACATTTCTGCGCTGCTACTGGCTATTTACTCTCTACAATTTACGGTTTCAGGCTGGGAATATAGTTCACGTGGTAGGGTGCATGCTTAGCGTTTGAAGACCTTAAGTCTCTAAGATTGGAAACAAAGAAAAAAGTCGTGTTTTTGTTTTGTTTTTTTTTGTTTTTTTAAAACTATGTAGCGTAATCACTAGTTAAGTTTTCTTGAAGCTTGCTGGCCTAGTAGTAACCTGTTATGCTTTGTTTTGCAATGTATTGCCTAGTTGTTTAAGAATTTTAGGCCCTCCTTCCCATTTTTGTGTTACGAGTTTACACATAATGTTTACAGTTCTCCACAAAATCGGTAATACAACAAAATTCAACTCAGGCCTGCTTTGTTTTACTAGGAAACTTACTTAATTACTACCCCAGCCCTGCATCCTTTCCCTTTGTCTTGAGACTGTCTCTAGTAGCCCACATGGGTTGGTGGGTGACCTTGAATTTGTGATCCTGGGTCTACTTCCTGAGGGTTGGGATTACTTACCATTGTTTGACTCAATGATGGGGATTGAAGTCAAGGCTTCTGTGCCTGGTAGACAAACACCCTACCAACCTACCTTTCCAGCCCTACTTTCTGTTAGCAGTATTTCTTACTGCTTGTAGTTATGCCCTTGATATTTATTTATTATTTATTAAAGGTTAAATGATAAAATAGGTACATTCTGTACTGTCATTAAGGTCAATATGTAATGCAGGTCTTTCCTTAAAAATTTTCTTCTTTTATTATATATTAACGTTTGGTGCTCCTCTGTAAGTACCATTTTTTATTTATTCATTTTTATTTAAGTTTAAGTTTATTTATTTTTCATACAATATATTTTGATCATATTTTTCATGTTTTTTTCCTTGCACCGATTCCTTCCAGATCTCTCCACCCCTCTTCATCATATTCTGTCTCTCTTTCAACCCCCACCCCCAAACCAACCAACCAACCAACCAACTAACCAAAAATCAAAACAAAAAAATAAGACAAAACATTCCCAAATAAAACAAAAGTACACACACTGGGGGTGGGTGGGTGGGTGGGTGGGGGAGGAGAGAGAGAGAGAGAGAGAGAGAGAGAGAGAGAGAGAGAGAGAGAGAGAGAGAGAGAGAGAGAGAGAGAGATCCTTTTTTATCATGGCCAACTACTTCTGGGTCTGAGACTTGCCCTAGAGTGTGGTTGATATATCCAGTGACACTCCATTGCAGAAAACTGACTTTGATTTCCCAGGAGGTATCCATTGCAAATAGCTTCTTGCTTAGGGGTGGGACTCCATGTCCACTTATCCCTCTCAGTGCTGGTACCTCATCTAGCTTGAACCTATACAGGTCTTACGTATGGTCCCACAGTCTGCATGAGTTCATGTATGTCATTTCTGTTGTGCCTGGCTCTGGCTTTTACAGTCTTTCTACCTCCTCTTCTGCATAGATCCTTGAGACTTGGGGATGGAGGAGTTTGATGAAGATATTTCATTTAGACCCTGAGTCTTTCAAGTCTCTCATTCTCTGCACATTGTCCACTTGTGGGTCTCTGTGTTAATTACTGTCTACTGCAAGATACATCTCTGATGAGGGTTGTGTGAAGTACTGATTTATGAGTATAGCAATATGCCATTAGCAGTCATTTTATTGCAATGTTCCTTTATCAGAATCACAGTAGATTTTCCCCTATGTCCATGACCTATTTCAAGTGCTTGGTCACTTAAGCAGTGTCACATATGGGTTCCATCTCATGGTAAATCGAATAAAAAAAATGTGGTTGGTTACTCCAATAACACTAGTATACCTTGCAGGCAGGTCATTGTTGTAGGTTACAGGATTTGTAGATGGATGATGCTGATGATCAACTTTCTTCTCTGGTAGCATGCCAAGTAATTTATAGCACCATGAATGCTATTCAGCTGGGGTAAAGCTTCTATTTGGGTACCAGCTCAATTTCTCTATGTTTGATGACGTAAGTAGGTGGTGTCTTCAGCATTAGGGCCTTACCATTAGGTTGTGTTGAGTAATCAATAGCTTTGGCAAAGCCTGTGATTTTTTTAAAAATAATTTATTTATTTTTATTTTATGTGCATTGGTGTTTTTTCTGCATGTATGTCAGTGTGAGGGTGTCAGATCTTGGAGTTACAGACAGTTGTGAGCTGCCATGTGGGTGTTGGAAATTCAACTCCGGTCCTCTTGAAGAGCAGTTAGTGAGTGCTCTTAACCTCTGAGCCATCTCTCCAGCCCCTAGCCTGTGATGTTTTGCAGGCATGTCTGTGAGGCCCATTTGGCTGCTGACTCAAAAAGATGTAACCCATTTCCAGTACTGGGGTTTGTGGCATACGATGTGTAGTTGGTGTATTGTCTCCCCATTATATGATGATTCCGTTTAGATTACTTTCATAGATATATATTTTTTAGGAAACTTCTAAAGTAAGAGGTTTCCATATGGTTTTTCAAAAGGCCTTCAGTGTTTCTCCCCCATTACCTCTTATATCCTGCCTTTCTATTTCCCTACCCATTTGATCTTCCTGGTCTATCTTCCCCGTTATCTTTCTATAACACTATGTTTCATTGTTAACAACTGAGTAATATTCCATTGTGTAAATGTACCACATTTTCATTATCCATTCTAGTAGTTTATTAGCATCTAGGCTGTTTACAGTTTCTGTCTATTATGTATAGAACAGCAAGGAACATGGATGAGCAAGTATCACTTTAAATAGAGTCCTTTGGGTATATGCAAGGAGGTAGCACCATCCCTGATTTCAAGTTATATTACAGAGCTATAGTAATAATAACAACATGATATTGCTATAAAAACAGACATGTCGCTCAATGGAATAGAATTGAATATCCAGACATAATTCCACATCCCTGTGGACAGACAACTGAATTTATATAATAAAGCCAGAAATACACACTGGAGAAAAGAAAACATCTTGAACCATGGTCGGACTGCATGGCTGCATGTAGAAGAATGAAAACATCCATATCTATTTTCCCAAACAAAACTCAACTCTAAATGGGTTCAGGACCTCAACAGAAGACTAGATACCCTGAATATGATAGGTAAAGTCAGGAATATCTTGAACTCATTGGCACAGGGAAGGGTTTTCTGAACAGAACACTGATGGCACAGCCTCTACAATCAGCAGTTAGTACATAGAGCCTCTTGAAACTGAAAAGCTTCTGTATGGCCAAAGGTACTATCATTTGGGCATATCTATCCCAGGCTAGAGAATGGGAAATGATCATTACCAATTATACATATGATAGAGTGTTAGTGTCTAGACTGTACAAAGACCCAAGAAAAGTGAAAGTACAGGAAAAAAAAAAGAATTAAAAATGGGACACAGAACTAGGCGGAGAATTATCAAAAACAAACAAAACAAAACACAAATATCTGAGAAATACTTAAAGAAATGCTCAATATCTTTAGTCATAAGGGAAATGTAAATTAAAACTACTTGGGTATTTAATCTTAATGCATTCAGAGTAGCCAAGATTAGTAAAACTACAGCACATGCTGCTAGGGAAAGGAT